TAGTTGTAATGTTTATTACTTAGTAGGTCAGGTATTTTCATCTGATTTTTTTTTAATGAAGTTAAAATTCATATTTCACAAAGCATTGTTTTTTTTTCTAAATTTATATTGATATTCTAACTATCGGAAAAACCGGAGACTATAATTAGCTCCGGTACACATCTCTAGTGTGTACCCGACGGAGCGGTCAGTAGCTATATTAGCTACATATAGCCTACATTGACGCGTCTATAGATTGGTCACTCACACAACTAAGGGCGACACGCATTCATACTTTGCCACAACTATACACACTTATTCATTTCTATTCGCATTCGGGTAGCACACTTGATAGTCAATGGTTGAGGATGCTTATTTATTTAGTGCTATGCTATTGTAACAAGACGACAGAAAACATTTTTTTGCCAAGTTTGCTGTTGAAAGGCAGGCTTAAATTACAAAATTACCATATAAAATCTAAAAAAAATTGTTTGAAAATCAAGGTTTTTAGGGTATGTTTCTCGAGACCTCGACATGTAGGTTTAATTAACTCAAAACGGTCAGTATGTTGAGAGGACATGTAGATATCTTAATCTCTATTATAAGAAAAATCAATACACACTTTTCAATATACTGACTTCTACTAAATATCAGTATTTTTCAGCTATAACTATTCTCGTGACGATGAAGAAATCTACAAGGAATTTGCAGAAATTGCTAATGAATTAATACCACAGTTAATGAAAGCTGAAAGTTCAGGACATTCAGCAAGGTCTATACTGAAGGATCCTGAATGTTTTGCATCACTATTAAGGTAATTTGTTTTCATATTTTTAAAAACATAACTATTGAACTGTATGCATGCATGTATGCAAATGACTGTCTTACTGTCACGGTGTATTGAACTACTACCATAGCTCATAACCACCAAGACGTCATTGCCGCCGCTCTTGAGGTTTGAGACTATAGGTCTAACTACAAAACTTCAGTTAATTTGAATCAGAGATATCGCTGTCATCGAACTGAATTATACGATTGCTCTACAATAGCAATAGAATAGTTGCCGTCATGACATCGGCACGTGCGGGCTTAAATCTTCCCCTCCACTAGCAATATGTTTTTATTCAATTACACTATTTAGGTGGAAGAGCTTGGATCTCCCCAGGTGTTATGTGCTTAGTAAGCCCATAGACAACACAAATCGACTGCCGCCACCTTGTGTGGATACAAGGTTGCAATTTCAATTTTGCCATGCGTTCACTATCCGCTCTAAAACCAGTAGAACCTGGTTTTAGATACCGTGGGCTTCGAAGGCTAAATACCTAGGCGTCACCCTCGATAGAGGGATGACATTCGAGTCCCAGATTAAGTAAGAAACATGTCTTGTCGGATTCCCCAGATTAACTCTCGGTGCTTTTAGGTCCTTTAAGCACCGGTCACCGTCCTCGTCGAACTCGATTACTACGAAGAGTTCGACTAGCGAACTAACCCAAAAGCATAGCCCCACTGAGTTTCTAGCCGTATCTGTTCAGTGGGTCGCGATTCCGACCCGATGGTAGATTCAGCGAAGCACTGCTCTTGCTAGGGCTAGTGGGAAGAGGGGGAAAATAGCCGTATAGCGTAAGATGATTGTGTAAAATTCCAATATTCTTTTTTAGATTTTATGATGGAATCTGTAAATGGGAGGAAGGTAGTCAGACTCCAATACTGCACATAGGTTGGGCAAAGCCGCTTGTGAGCACTATATCGAAGTTTGATGCTGAAGTTAGGGCTCAAGTGTACATAGTATGTCGACCTGATTCNGGAAGAGAGAGAAAATAGCCGTATAGCGTAAGATGATTGTGTAAAATTCCAATATTCTTTTTTAGATTTTATGATGGAATCTGTAAATGGGAGGAAGGTAGTCAGACTCCAATACTGCACATAGGTTGGGCAAAGCCGCTTGTGAGCACTATATCGAAGTTTGATGCTGAAGTTAGGGCTCAAGTGTACATAGTATGTCGACCTGATTCTGGTGAAGTTCTCGAACACCAAGAACCGGACGGAGAAAAAAAAGAAACCACAGAAAACGGCAATGAATTAAAAAGTAACAATTCAGAAAACGCAGAAATGACTGTACGTGAACAATTAACGGCCGCTGTGAACAGTCGACCGCGTGTCACGTTATATAGTCATAAAATGGCTGCATTAAAGCCATTGCTGTTAGCAGAAAGACTCAATACGCATGCGTTACAATTACAACTAACAGCTCAAAGTCAGTTACAAAGACCTCAGGTACCAACTAAAAGACGAGACGATGAAGATCAAAATGCTTGTTTCCCGACAGCGCGGGCTAAGAGGGCACGACGTGAACGTTAAGTACCTCCTTCGACATTATCTTCGATAAAAGTCTACACAGAAAAGTGACCTGTTCTGTAGGTAGTTCTTGTAGAGAATGCTTCTTATTTCGTCTTAGAATAAGGATGTTTTGAAATTGATTTTATGTGCTGTTAGAAATTACTGTTGGATAAAAGTAATGTGTAAACAGTCTATAACACTAAACCATCAATTTGTAAAACTAAACAAAAACTACATTATTATTATCTAACTACAGTTAATGCTTTCATAAAAATATGCATTTTGGCCATGAAATAATCAATAGTTCTGTTTTCCTGATTTTCATACATAATATTATAAAATTGTTATCTAATTTACTATTATGGAACATAACTATTATGAAACAAATAAATTTAGTTTCTTAAAATATATCCTTATAGTTTCATTTTCTGAACCTGTTCACGTTATACCGTAATGTAATGGGTAAGACAACCAGTGCATTTAACACTAATGTTAAATCAGTGCTGAAAACTATGAATTCGCCAATTTTATAAATACGCGTAGTTACAAATCATGAATGTTCAGTTTTCATGAGTGTGCGCGGATAGTTACCCCCCATCCTCATGTTAATTTTTGACTGCGAAAGATTACAATTGGAGTTTTAACCGTCAAGCGTCGGATGGTTCAGCGATAAAAAAACGCAATTTGGAAACACTCCTTCATACAAAGTAATTGGGTACATTGTATAATAATAGTTCCCTCTGGGAAAAATTGTAACGATCTCGCCAGTGTAGTGTAGTCAAATATTCCAGATAATAATCTCTTTAAATCGATCCGAATGGAAGTCGAGGGTTTTATTCACAAATTAACGAAGTCAAGAACATTGGATTCTTTGTTTTTTATCTTTAAAGGACAAAGAAAGGATATGAATCCCTGGTGGTAGGACCTCTTGTGAGTCCGCACGGGTAGGTACCACCACCCCGCCTATTTCCACCGTGAAGCAGTAATGCGTTTCGGTTCGAAGGGTGGGGTAGCCGTTGTAACTATACTGAGACCTTAGAACTTATATCTCGAGGTGGGTGGCGCATTTATGTTGTAGATGTCTATGGGCTCCAGTAACCACTTAACACCAGGTGGGCTGTGAGCTCGTCCATCCAAACAATAAAAATAAAAAATCCTATCAATGCATAGAAGAGTCAATTACATTTAAGTAAGTAATTAACCAATTTAACACTATTTTCCAAAACTTTTTGTGCCCATTGCTTTGTGTCATAATATTAGGTTCATTTAGGAACATTTTGAAATATCTTATTCCTAGGGATTTTTATTGTTGCATTTGCAGTGATTACTTTACAGTAGCTCATAGCAAACAGAATGTGAATGTCGTCACTCAACTGAAGTCAACTGGAGACTAAAGTCGAAATCCAGTTATATTGTTCAATTGCAGACTAAACAGGAACATGTGACTTTTCGCGGCAAATTACCCCGGCACAACATAGCCGTTGTCTGCCTTTACTATACCCACTGAAATATGTAAGTGGTGCCATTCTAGGCCACCACACTGCACCCAGTTCACCCATCTACATAAGAAGCTTCAATTGAATATGTACATGTAATTTTACTCATTTACAATTTTTACTTCTAGTTGTTATTCAATACATTAATTTTATCAGGTACAGGAAAAGCTATATGTTATTACATAACTAATTAAAAAATTCAATGATTAAATTCTGAATTAAAATTAAATTAAAAAGCAGAACTTAATAATTTCGATATGTAAGTCCATTTTAGCGGTAGGTATTTAACAAAGTTTGTCACATTCCCCCTGAATGTGCCCAAATATCTATCTCATATAATTTCAGCCTATATCATCTCATTTCATTTTAATTGATTAATATCTCAAAATAATCAACTTCATTTCATTTTGAACATTTTTAATGAAAGAGAATAAATTAATATACAAAAGAGTAGTCCATAGATTATACACTTAATGGAGTAGTCTGTTTGGTATGATACATTCGCATTTCCATTTGGAAAACTACTACATTTACAAACACACGTCAGCCTGAGTCTATCATTTGATTTCATTTTAATTGATTAATGTATCAAAATAACCAACTTCATTTCATTTTGAACATTTTTAATGAAAGAGAATAAATTAATATACAAAAGAGTAGTCTGTTTGGTATGATACATTCGCATTTCCATTTGGAAAACTACTACATTTACAAACACACGTCAGCCTGAGTCTATGCTGTCAAATTTAAGTTGGCAGGACTTTTTGGCGGGAACGCGAGGATTGAAGTTATGTGATTAAAATTTGTTTTTATTGTCTATTTCATGTTTTTACAGGATTAAATGTGTAATAACAGTGGTTTATTAATTGTTTAGTATCTGTGAAAATGCACAAATGTGGGAAAATATAACGAAGCCGCTGAACGAAACATCTCGGGATCCTCCAAAAAGTCCAGTGAAGAAGTCTCAGTAAATGACCACCATTTTACTGAGATTATAATATTTCATCCCATATCATCTCATGTCATTTCATGCCATGTTTCATATTAATTAACTTCATTTCATATTATCATTTTTCATTAAAATTAAAATAAGACTTGACCTAAAGGTCTTATTTACCAGGTTTTAAAAACACAAAAAAAAAGAGTTGCTTGACACATCATTAAAGCGTCATAATTGTCATATTTAACTTACAGAACATAGTGTACGGTATTTAATAAAAAAAACAGGTTTATGCGTTTTACACTAAATGCACTACTCTCAAATATATTAAGTGTATAATCTATGTGCACTACTATTATGCGTAGACATCTCTTAATTTACCAATTTACCAAACCTTCAAATATTCCAATAAAAAAGCATCTTTAGTCTGATGAAATATTAACTGTATTGTATGTGCTCATAAATTATAATCATTTCAACAGAGATGAATAGAAAAAGGAATGTGGCTTTTTCCAAGCCGGAAGACCCTGATTTTCTTAAAAGGTTAAAAAAACAAGTAGGCTATGATGATCGCAATCATAAATTTGATGAACTCGAAAATTCAGAAAAAGATTTTGTAAGCGACGAAGATGACGAACAACCGCAGGTAGTTGTTATAAAGAAAGGCGATCTTACTGCAGAACAAGCTGAAGAAGAGAAAAAAAAGAAAGAGAAGCTTGAATTAGAAACAAAAGCAGATTTAAATCAGCGAATAATCTTTAAATCTAAGACTATTACCGCAAAGAAAGATTTAAAGAAAAGTAATAAAAGCGCAAGTAGTTTACCAAAAAGTCATAATTTACTGTCATTTAATCACAATGATGATGATAATGATGAATGAAATCCATAATGTAGCCATTATCAATTGATAATGAATTATATTACTGCGAAGGCTAATGAGTATGGAAATATACCTTATTTGATTGAGTGTGAACTTCATTAAAATTACTTAATCATGTTAAAAACCTACATCTACATCATGATGAAATCTTTCATTTCACTCTGACCAATCAAACATATGTCAATAAACATATCTAATCTTTCCTTATGAGTTATGTTTGGCCATTAGGTGTTTATTTAACAATCTATTAAGTTTTACTAGAAATGTATTAAACTTATTAAACACAAAACTTACCAACCTAAAAACTGCACATTGTATAAGGATATTCGTTTTAAGTGGAATTGTGGCTGATAATAAATAAAGAGTGATCATTAAAGATACAAATATGAAAAACTACTATAAAATGTTTACCATCTTTGGCATATATCAATATAATGACATTAAATTGAAGTTGTAAGGAAATTCCCTTTTTAATCACCCTTTTATTTATTGCATAGATGAGTGAACAAGCTCACAGCCCACCTGGTATTAAGTGGTTACAGGAGCCCATAGACATCTACAACATAAATGCTGCCACCCCTTGAGGTGAGTTCCAATGTCTTAGTTTTTACAGTACAATGGCTACCCCACCCTTCAAACCAAAATGCATTACTGCTTCACAGCAGAAACAGGCAGTGTGGTGGTACCTACCCATGTCGACTCACAAGAGGTCCTACCACTAGTAATTATACAAATTATTATTTTTGCATTTGATATTTATTACACGATGTTATTCCTTCACTGTGGAAGTCAATTGTGAACATTTAATATGTAGTTCATTAGAAAAATGGTATTTGCCAGTGTGATTCCAACACTAGTGCATTGCTAAATACAAATGCACCAAACGTCTTATCCTTTAAGCCACAAAGACTTCAAACCTTCGACCTTGCTGGTGTACAAAAGAAGTTATGAAAATAATGAGTAATGCTTATTTTTTTATTAATATTGTTTCCAGTTTATGCTGGGGTAGTTAATTTCCTATAAGTTCCTCAGATGGCAAGTGGGCCATTTAGAACAAAATAATATTAAACACTAGTGACAATAATTTCTCCTATTTGATCTGTGATCAATAGGAAATCTTCTAATTTATGATTGTGGACTAGTGACTGACCAGTAGGGACCACTACTGCCTATTTCTGCCACGAGCAGTAATGTGCTTTGGTTAGAAGGGTAAGGCTACTGTTTAATTTAAAAAGCTGTGACTTGGTAATCATGTCACGGTGGGTGGCAGCATTTACATTGTTGATGTATATGGGCTCCAATGACGACTTGGCACTAAGTGGGTCATGAGCTCATCTACCCATATTAAAAAAAGGGACACCAGAGTACTTTAATGCTGCTACCACATCATTTGTAATTCATCCTTTGATATTGTAAAAGCTTTAAGGAAAACATTTTGAAGAACAATGTACAAAATATATTTAAACGGTAATGTATTTTTGTAATAATTACCATCCTTATCAATCAATTGTAATATTTATAATACATAAATAGACAACTACATTAAATATCTTTTATATATAAATAACTTTATCTATCTTCTAAAGGTTGTTTTTTTTTCACTTTAGATTTAGGTCCATTTAAATTAACTAAAGTATCACTTCTATAACTAGAATGAATACTTTCAGTATCATTTTCATATTCTAGTAGTTTATGTAGTAAAAACTTTCTCTCATCTTTTACTATCAGAATGCTCTCTTGTATTTTGGCCACCTCATCACATAGTGCTGCGTTTTCCTGCAAATTAAATTAATTTGAATTATTATGTAAATAGTAAAGTAATTTTACTTTTTCTTGTATATTTTTATAGCTCTTTATAAAGTTCTTAAAATTTACAAGGTCTTAAATTGTATTGTAGTACAGTTTATAGTTATACTATAGTTGTTTCAGTAGCATTGATAGTTTTTTAAATTGTTAAGTGGTGAACTAGAAAATCATCCTATAGTTGGATAATAAATCATGTCAACCCGAAAACAACATGATAAATGTTGAACATGATTCCTGTTCGATATATTTCTGTGTAAGTTAGCTAATAGATAGAAAAATACATTAACCTATTTCCAGTTTACAAAATGATTCTTCACTGCACAAGATATGCAATGTTATTGTTTATCAACTGTGTTCAGTATTGCCAATCAAATATTAATAAACTCGATTATTTGTCACGTTAATGGGTACTCTTACTCAAGACACCTTACCAGTATTAGGCTCTTAATTTTCATTTTCATATATTTGTATTTCTTTCGGCATCGTTTTTTTCTATCAGTTTCAATCTGGCTCTGGCTACCTAAGTCTATGTTGGAAAATGACTGTGCACACATTTTCTTTATCAAGTAATTTCTATAAGTTGAGAAAACGTATATTTTGTAATTAGCAAAATCTTTTTCAATTTATGAGGTAGGTAGATATGTACTAGGGATGTAAGTCGGTTCGAAGAAATCCAGAGAAAAAAACGGTTTTTATACATACCGATAAACACCGGTTTTTATTTAAGAATATCGGTTTTTAAGTACGCGTTACATTCACAGTTCACACCAGTGCTACCAGATCAAATATACAAACTATCGTGCTGCTATATAAAAATGCCGTGTTTCTGATTCAAATTACCGTGTATTACATTTAAAAACTACAGTACAATTACCATGTAAATTATAAGAAAAACCTACTTTGACAAAAATACAATAGTATTAAATTAAATCAAAAATAAAAGCTTTTTATTATAGGATAATATATTTATGATCATTAAGCCTATATAAAATATGGTCACCCTATTAATTGTATGAGAAAACTCTTCGCTTGCACGCAAATTTGTTTTATTTAATGATTATTTAGCCTATAAAGAAAAAACCTAAAAATACCTTAAAAAACCGGTTTTTGAGAAACAAATCGGTAATAAGCCTTAGCCAGAAATTATAATCGGTTCACATCGCTAGTATGTACCGTGTATAATCTATGGTACCTACCTATGTACCTACTTAATAGAGACTTTTTGGCGGGAACGCGAGGAGTGAAGTTGTGTGATTTGTTTTATTTTGTCTATTTAGTGTTTCTTCAGGTTTAAATGTATAATAATGGTGGTTTATTAACTGTTTAATATCTGTGAAAGTGCACAAATGTGGGAAAATGAAACAAAGCTGCTGGACGTAACTTCTCGGGTTCCTCCAAAAAGTCCACTGAAAAAATCTCAGTAAATGACCACCATTTTACTGCGATTATATTTCATCCCATATCATTTCATTTCATTAAATTTCATCCCAGTTGATTANGTGCAATTCCAAAATTCTGTTAAGGCTCTATATCTCGTCGTTTTTATGCGATAGAGGTCTAATAATTTGTTACAAATTTCGCTGTATGTAGCTATATCGAAATCAGGCGTTAAAGCTACTTTTAACTCGTGGAATATCTCTGGTGTTAGTAAATTCAGAAGCAAATCTTTCTGTAAGTCGCTGTTATTGATATCAAGAATTTTGCATTTGTTTTCGAAAAAATCAATGTAATCGTCAATTCTGAATGTATCTGGGTTGTATTAATCCATATTGAAATTTTTGATTATACTTATCTTGTTATCCGTATCATGTTTTGTAAAAGAGTCGTTCGTCACGCTCTTGGCTGTTGTATTGCAAGCTGCTGGTACCAACAACTTCAAGATTTGTGAAATCTGTTCTTGCTGGTTTTGTTGTGCATGTAAAAATAATGCGAATTGTTCATCGTTCATCTTAATTTCTTTTAACTCGTCGCCAATATAATAAAACAATGTTTTCAAGACATAGCATAAAATATAATAATGATAGATGGTAAAAATGACAATGTGTTCGAAGTATATTTCAAATAATGGAATATGGAAAAGAAGGTTACAACAAACATCACGAGAGGACTGCCAAAAGCAATTGTCGCGGTATTTTGATCAGAAGCCCCAAAATTTCTATAGCAATGGGATCATGTCCCTATCCACAAGATGGCAAAAATTATCGAACAAAATGGTACCTACATACTTTAGTTAAATATAAATAAACTATATTAAAAAAGGTTGTGAATTTTCTTAAAAAATGCGAAGAAACTTTTTCCCCAACCTATTATATCTTATAAGGGACGCACTGTATACAGGGCTAGTTACCGGTTTGTTTGATAGATTCCCTTGGAGGGGTAAAAGTAGCGCTTATTTACAATAGATTTTGTCATTATGGACCGTCGATATATTATGGTATGATATGGTAATATATCGATGTTATGGACCCTAGCCGATAGTGATTTCTTTTTGAGATATTCAAGTTTTTGTGCTTTTATTTTTAAATACCGATTTTATGTAAAGAAAAGTATGCTTCTAAGTGAATGGCCTAGTTTGATCCTATTTTTGAGCATGATCTGATACCTAACATCTCCACACTTCCTCCAAATAACAATAAGCTGTAGTAACACTCTTAAACTTTATGTTATGAACGTAAACTCGCTAGAGTTCAATAAAATATTTGTTTTTAAAGCCAATTCATAGTGAATTTGCTTAAAAAAAAGTATCGAACGTGTCGTACAAATTACTAAAATAATTGCCCTATTTCATTAGCTATCCAAAGTGGTATACAACTTTTATCTGCATTGACAGCACAACAATTAATAACACTGTATAGTGTAAGATTATGTGCTATTTTTCCTATAAATTAATCAATTAGCGTATGTACAGCTGCGGGTTATGCTTTTGTTTGTTTTTTTTTTTACCTGCAGTGAACATATTATTTCCACATCTAATAATTATTTGGTTTGGATTTTACGTTATGGCATCTTTCACGAACGAAGAGTAGGTACGCTGATATCATCCTTTGTTATGGGGATTGTAATGAAGTTGCTACAGCAGCAACTCCTGTGAGTTTATGTTCATAATATAAAGTTTAAGAGTGTTACTACAGCTTATTGTTATTTGGAGGAAGTGTTGAGATATTACGTATCAGATCATGCTCAAAAATAGGATGAAACTAGGACATTCACCACTTAGGAGCATTTTTTTTGCCTAAAATTGGTATTTAAAAATAAGAGCACAAAAACTTGAATATCTCAAAAAGTAATCACTATCGGCTAGGGTCCAAAATGACAAAATCTATTGCAAATAAGCTCTACTTTTATCCCTCCAAGGGAATGTATCGAATTTCAGGTTTCCCCGTATATAAATGACCCTGTTTTTAATTTCGCTAGCAGTTGGAATTAATGTATACCGAGATGTGTAGGTGAAATCCATTTCTGCTGCGAAGCAGTTTTGCGTTCAGGTTTGAAGGGCAGGACAGAGGATATAAAATAGAATAGAGATACAATCAATACAATACAAAAAAAAGATATAGCTCGCAGAGTTAGTAAGCTGAAGTGGCAGTGGGCTGGTCACATATGTCGCAGAACCGATAACCGTTGGGGTAGACGTGTTCTGGAGTGGAGACCGCGAACCGGAAAACGTAGTGTGGGACGCCCTCCTGCTAGATGGAGCGACGACCTGCGCAAGGCAGCTGGCAGTAACTGGATGCGTAAAACCGAAGATCGGGTTCAGTGGCAAGCTTTGGGGGAGGCCTATGTCCAGCAGTGGACTGCCGCAGGCTGATGATGATGATGATGATGATGATGATGATACAATCTCATGTCGAAAGGTGGAGTTTGACGTTTGGAATCATACCGTCTACCCAAGCATAAAGTAGGTACATATAAAAAAATTAATTCCAGTACAAACATAAATCACTGGAAATCTTAATAAGAATGAATTAGGATAAACAAATCGAAAGAGTCAATGCTGGTATAAAAACCAAAAGTAATTCATTGAGACAAAACAAAAATAACTTTATTTTCATTGAATAATGTATCGGAAATTTATATAAATATTGACCAATTTAAGATATATGGTAAGTAAAGTTCCATTATCCAAACAAACAAAAAGGTTCAAAACTTCTCCCAAACGGTTGTTTTGCATTAGTCTTCAAATACAACTTTCCCGTTACGTTTCTGTTTACGTCCTCACCCATAAACCCGTATTGATCGCAAAGATTCTGTAAATAATCCAACCAGCTTGCACATTTGAAAGCTGGAAATGCTTTGGGTGTCTTTATAGATTCTGCAAAATAATCATGTGCTCTACTATGGCTGCATGCTTCTGTAAAATATTTCACTCTATTAGTTGTATTCCATGTTAGTCCTATGCCTATATCCAGCAGTAGACTGCTGCTATAAGCTAATGATGACGATGATGATGATAATATGTACTGTGTAACACATTTTTAAGTTTTTAAAAGCGTATATTGCACAACCAGCCTTGAGATGTAAATGATATACCTATAAACATTGAGAAATATTTGAATTTTAAGACTTATCATAAGGTAGGATAAGATTTTTTTAAATTCCTATACGTGAGATATGAGATTCCCGCAACCTTTAAACAACCGCTGTACATTCCTTGTGTTATTTATTGGTCTCAGAGTAAAATAGCTGTAACATACGATTCAGTTTTATTGCTTTGCGGGGCTTCAGATATTTGAGAAATCAGAATATATGTAAACTGTATTTTTTATAGACAAAAAATGTGAACGAGATAATAAACCGGAACTTAGAAGTCGTTGTGGCCTCAAGGATTAGTTTAGTTTATTAGTANACCGCTGTACATTCCTTGTGTTATTTATTGGTCTCAGAGTAAAATAGCTGTAACATACGATTCAGTTTTATTGCTTTGCGGGGCTTCAGATATTTGAGAAATCAGAATATATGTAAACTGTATTTTTTATAGACAAAAAATGTGAACGAGATAATAAACCGGAACTTAGAAGTCGTTGTGGCCTCAAGGATTAGTTTAGTTTATTAGTATAGTTAGTCGTGTTTAGTTCGGTTTTCGCGGGTCGTAGACATAACTTAACCTATTTTTATGATTTAAGCTCTCGTTTATTATTGTTGACGATTGAAATATTTAACAGTATTTGTGGTCACGGACGAAAGTCGTAATAAACGCGAAATTAAACCGTAAAAATAGTTTCAATGTGTCTAGGACTCTCCCGAAACTTTCAAGGTGTTAAATCACAGAGTACCTATTGGTTGAATTTATAGGTACACAATTTTTAATGGTAGTAGGGTATAACGATGTCCTCAATACAATCCTCCCTATTTAGGCCGTAAATTATCCGTGTTTTCGGACTTGATAGGCATGTCACTAGACAGCAGAGAAATTTATAAATGAAGATTTTTCTTGTTTGATAGTTTTACTTCCATATTATTCTCTTCATGTCTGACGGAGAGGGGCAGACGAAATCCAGTTTATGATGTACCTATATGTACGAGTATTGGTGTATATGCTTATAATTTTCTTGCT